CTTCAAACCCCTGAGAGCGAGGAGGCCCGGCACCTGAGGTTCTGTCCTCAGGGCCACAGAGCCTTGCTTTTCTTCCCAGTATTGCGGTACTACGTTATTTCTCTCTCTCTCTCATCTGCATACACACACACACACACACACACACACACACACACACACACACAGAGTCAAATCCTAGTCCCAGTTTTGCTTTCTGGATGCTTTTAGTATGAGCTCAGTTAATTAAAATTTGTTTGCTCTGAAAAATAATTTAAGAAAATTAATTCAATATGTATATGCTTGCACACACAGAAAGAAAAGATAGGATTTTTAGAAAAATATTAACAGTGTTTCTTTGGGTAGTATGATTATGAGTGATTTTCATTTTATTCTTTAAACCTTTGTTTAAATTTTTCTGCAAACAGCAGGTACTATTTTAATAATCGAGAAAAGAACAATATTTTTAAAAGATATTTTCATTTCAACCACATTGTAACATCTTTCCCCTTAATCCCACTGCCTAATTTCAATGAAAATACTGAGTTTTATATCCGTAGTTTTTCCTTGCAATATTTTCCAGATTGACTTTCCTCTCTTCATCTCTATAGTCACTACCCCACTAGGCTTGTATCACTTCACATTACGTGTCTGGTCTGATCACTGCAAGAGCAATCAATGGAGAAATTTTTTCTCCTCTAATTCTATGATAATAATAATGATGATGGCAGTAATAATAACAGCTACTAACATGTTCTAAGTGCAAAGTACCAGGCTCTTTGCAAAGTGCTTTACAAACAGTGTTCCATATTATTTTCACAACCCTAAGAGGCAATCTTACTTATCCTTGTTTTAGACTTGAGAATACAGAGCTTTTGAAAGGTTAAGCAAACTGCTCATGGTCACAAACTACAAAGTGTGAAACTGAGACTCAAATCCTTTTGGTCCGACTTAAAAAGTAAATCAAAATATCCAACCTAACATTTAATAAATATTCTATGAGAAATATCTTTGTTAGAACCACCTCTCCAAAGACACTTCACATTGTAAATTCCATTGTGGTCTAGTCCATCTGTTGGCTTTTCCCCCCAAATTCTTGCTTCTATGCTTCTCACCAAGAATAATTTCCTCACTTTTCTTCACCAATTCAAATCCCTTACTTTTGTTTAAAACCTCTCTCAAAACTTTTTCTCTAGAAAGCCTTCTGAGCTTAGCACACCTGATTTTGATCCCTTCTTATTCCTTTAGAAAATATGTATGTGTCAGAGATGATCAACTAGTCCCCAATATTCACTCTCCCCTTCTTCCTTTTTAGCAATAAGCCCATGACAGCACAGCTACAGACATTTCCCATCATTTCTTGTTGTTAGATGGCCATGCATCTAAGTTTGGGTCAAAGGGATGTGAAAATACCTGACACATGCAACTACTGAGTCAAAGTAAAATAAAAAGAACATTCACATACTTTTTCTTTCTACTTCTATCTGCCTGGGAAATGGCAACAACTGGAGTTCTGGCCTTGGACCAAGATGGAAGCAATAAGTTGAAGATAGCCGTGTTGCTTCACCAGACTGGGTCCCTGAATGACCACATGGAGCACAGCCATCTAATCACCCACAGCCTCTTGCTTATCTTTGGACCATTATGTAAGAGAAAAATAAACTTTTTTCTAAGTTTTTACAATGTTTTAACAACAACTTAGTCCTTACCATACCCAATAGAGAATGCAGTATGTGGACTATTATTTTCCACTTTTTTGATTCACTAGTCACTTGGTGGCACAATGGTTAAGCACTCGGCTGCTAACTGAAAGGTCGGTGGTCCGAACCCACCAGCTGCTCCGAGGGAGAAAGATGTGGCAGTCTGTTTCCGTAAAGATTTACAGCCTAGGAAGCCCTATGGGGCAGTTCTACTCTGTCCTATAGGGTCTGTATGAGTTGGAGCCGACTCCACGGCAATGGGTTAATAGAGTAACCTATGTATGTTAATCACCCTGGAAAAAGATACTGTGCTGGAAAGAGAATTTGCAGAAGTTGCTTAACCTCTCTGAGCCTCAGTTCCTTATCTGTCATCAAAAGACAACAAACTATACCTATATCTCACCATAGTGGTTATTCTGCCTGTTTGTTTTCCTTTTTTTCATAGGAAGATTGTAAACTACATGACAAGGGCCTCAAATTTTCATTTTTTTAAAAAAAGAAACTCCGATCAGCAGTTACTGTGAAGCTCTTAACTACTAAATGCATAAAACTCAAGAGAGATAGTCCATTCAAAATTTTGTTTTAGTCCAGCGTTCTGAATGCCAGTGTTTTCAAAGACGTTTAGAAAATAAGATGTTTTTAACTTTCAAGTCTCAAATAGAATTAACTAGCCCTTGTCATTGTCATTTTTATTATTTAGATGTTGATATCATGCCAAATCTTGTGTGTGTAAAAGCTGAGTTTTTGCCTGTATGATAGACTTGGAAGGGGTACATAAAATGGAATAAATAGTGAACTTACTTTCTGCCCCACAGAAGGCGCATATCCTGTTTGATACATGGTAGATGACTACGATTTATTAAAAGACATGCGACAGTATGATATATAAAGCACAAAGAGTTGCAAAGTGTTCCTTTTCAGTGATGGTGAATGTATCATTGCAGTGTGTGTGTGTGTGTGTGTGTGTGTGTGTGTGTGTGTGTGTGTGTGTGTGTGTGTGTGCTTGCATATGCATGCATTTATGGGGGTAGAGGGCAAGGGGTGAGTGGGTGAGGGATGTCACCTCTTACAGGGGTTACCTAGCCTCAAGAGCATGGCTAGTACCGTTTCCAAAGTAGAAACTACCCTTGCTGCCTCCCTTAAGAAGTTGCTTTTGCCTATATGGGAATGTATGTCCAGCACACTGTTACTTCTTTGTAATCGAAGAGTATCGAATAAGCAACTGTTGTTAAAAATATGTAACCACAAGTTATTATTAACCATTATGCATCACTAATATAGCATTCAACAAATGTTCATATAGTGTGTGCTAACCACAGAGGAAAAGGAAAAAGTACAATTCTAATTACATCTAAAAATGTATCCCAAATGTGCTTCTAATCACTCATCCTCTTTGCTCTGTTGCCTTTTGAAGTGCCTCAGAGGCATTAAACACTTCACAAGAGGGGCCATAGGCGACATATTTCCTCATTCTTTCCAATTCCAGACAGCAGCTCGCACACATCACAACATAAAGGTCACAAACACAGACAGACGCCTGTTTGGAATACAAATGTTGCTGGGCTTGTTCTCTGAGGAACCCTCCATTCAGTGAGTTGTAAGTGGAATACACTTGGCAGTTTGTCCCGTAATGTGTCTGGCTGTGCCCTATTTGTCTACTCTGAGACTTGAATTCACAGAAGGTGGGCTGCACAGGGCCATGGTCTGTTTAATAATTTGATAATTATTAACTCAGTAGCAAAAGTAACCTCAGAGATCACTGATCCCACCTCCCAACCTTGTACTACACTCCTGACAGATGCCACCTGGCCTCTGCTTGGTGACCACTTCTCAGGGGGCTCTTCTTGGTTGCAGCCAGAAGGCAGGATGGAGTTGCTGGGTTTCTTCGAACTCCAGAACAACCTTCATTCTAGAACTGTCTGCATTATCTAGCACAGATCTAGTCAAACTGGTATTTGGCAATGAGTTTGTATCCTCCTGCTAAGAATTTGGGCAACTGAAATGAGGAGGAGAAACCCGGACCCGAGGAGAAAGAAGTCAAGCAGCCGAGGCAAAGGGACATAGGGTTGGGAAAACACAAAAGGAGCAGCGGAAATAAAAGGAGATAAAAGACATGGGAAACAGATGTGTAAAGAATGAGAGGCAAGTAATGAACTGCAAAGAGACTCTGAAGCTGGAAAGGATGCTCTGAAAACTGACGGTTTCATGAAAGTGAAGCCTTCTTGCGTGTGACCCAGAGAAGGGCCACTACTTTGTTTTTGCGAAAAGTGCATTGTCGAAGCGAGTCTGAAAAAGCTGCATACGCTATGATTCCAACTATATGATATTTTGGAAAAGGCAAGTAGAGACAGTGAACAGATTAGGGGTTACCAAGGATTCAGGGAGGACAACAGTAGGGATGAGTACAGGGTATTTTTAGGGCAGTGAAGGTATTCTGCATAATACTGAAATGGTGAATACAAGACATTTGCCAAATCCCATAAACCTGTACAACACAAAGAGTGAACCCTAATGTAAACTAAGACCTTTAGTTAAGAATAATGTATCAATATTGGCTCATCATTTGTAACAAATGCACCACACTAATGTAAGACTTTAGAAGAAACTGTTCACAGGGGGGAGAAGGGGCATATGGGAATTCTGGTACTTTCTGTGTGACTTTTCTGTAAACCTAAAACTCCTCTAAAAAACTAGTCTATTTAAAAAAAAAAAAGCGTTGTGAAAGTTGTTCGGAGTGAATATGGTTACAAATACGAGGTAATAAGTTTACCAGTGTTGCTAATTAAAGGACAACTTGGCAAAGACTATCACAATTTTAAACATATATGTCAACTGAGCAATAATTCCACTGCCAAGGATCTTCCCTGTGGATCTACAGGTACAAGAACTATATGTACAATGATGTTCAATGATTTGTTTGTAGTTGCTAAAAACTGCAAACAATCCAAATGTGCATTAAGAGGGAATTTGTTAAATAAATCATGTCGGTGTAAATATTTTTAAAAAATGAGGTAAATTTATATGTGCTGATGTGGAAGGCTGTCCACATCGCATTATGAATAAAGTAGACTGCAGAATATTTATATAAAGATGCAACTGTGAAAAAAAGACATATGACTATGCACATATTTTGTGCATTACTGAAAATTTCTAGAAACTATTTCTGGGGTTATTTTGGTAAGAGGGTGGAGAGTTTGCTGAGAGATTATTATTTTCCTTTTATGTTTTTCTATACTGCTTTAACATGTATGTTACATGAGTGTGCACACACATGTATACACACACACAATTTAAAAATACTGTGTAGTTGTTAAAAAAAAAAAACAACTCTATTTGTACCGACGTAAGTTTCCAAAACACTAAGTGCAAAACACTAGTTCTGAAATGTTTTGTATAATTTGATCCCGTTTGTGTTTTTTTCTTTTTTTTTAAATTGTGTGTGTATGTATAAGAATTCATAAATAAAACTCACAAATTGTTTAACAGTGTTATCAGAAGCAGAGTGGGACACTTCAGTACAACCTGGATTTTAATTTCTTAAAAATCAAAAACAAAACTTAAACTCTTTCTCCCATTTCCACAGAAGGATATGGGCTAGAAGGGACATATTGGTAGTCTAATTACTTCCACACTGTGGCCCTCAGAGGAAAATTCTAAATAAATGGTTCAAGATTTTTTAAAGTCTAATCACACACTCATCATTACAGGTGAAAAACACAGCGGCCAGCTTTGCCCAGGCTCACTGTCTTAGTCATCTAGTGCTGCTATAACAGAAATACCACAAGTGGATGGCTTCAACAAACACAAGTTTTTTCTCTCACAGTCTAGTAGGCTAGAAGTCCAAATTCAAGGTGTCAGCTCCAGGGGAAGGCTTTCTCTCTCTGTCGGCTCTGGAGGAAGGTCCTTGTCTTCCCATGGACTAGGAGCTTCTCAGTGCAGGAACCTCGGCTCCAAAGGACACGTTCTTCTCCTGGCACTACTTTCTTGGTGGTATGAGGTCCCCATGTCTCTCTGCTTGCTTCTCTCTTTTATATCTCAAAAGAGACTGACTTAAGACAAAACCTAATCTTGTAGATTGAGTCCTGCCTCATTAACATAACTGCCCCTAATCCCACTTCATTAATGTCATAGAGGTAGGATTTATAACACTTAGAAAAATCACATCAGATGACAAAATGGTGGACAATCACACAATACTGGGAATCATGGCCTAGCCAAGTTGACACCTATTTTTTGGGGAAACACTTCAATCCATGACAGTCACATTGCAAATCTGTGGCAGAACCAGAAACAGAAACTAGTTGTCTTGACTTACAACTTTTTTTGATTCTATTATACCATGAACTATCCCTAAGAAAAGCCAGTATTTTTATTGTTCATTATTAATTCCATGATATTTACTATCTATTGTGAACTAGGCACTGTAGTAGCTCGTAGTGGTACAAGGCAGTGCAAGACATGGACTCTGCCCTGGAAGAACTTGTAGGTAAGCTGAAGAGACCCTCAGTGGGAGGAGTGAATATGTACAGGCCCCTCAATCCACAGGAGAATGAAGGCTCATTCCCAGGATCCTTTCCTCAAACACTCTGGCACTACATGCATCTACACAGAGTCAAGAGGATAGGGCAACCTCACCAATTCTTCCCCCTCTTCAGTCACAGCCTTAGCAGATAAAATAATAATTTTTTTTTCAATACATATTTGTGCAGCCCCAATTATGCATTAGGCAGACCAGATGCTGGTTACAGGATAGCAAGATAAAGACTATTACTGCCTGCATGAAACTTACCATCTTTCTAACTTCCTTCACTAACTGATCGCTAAGCTAAAAGAACTCGGACTTCAGCGGCCACACATGACAAAGAACACAGACTTTCTAAAAATAGTTTGGAAAAGTCATTAAACAAGCAAGAAATCAAACAATAAACATAGAATTATGTAATAATAAATTACAGTGAGGGTAAGAAAGAAGAAATACAAGGTGCATGAGATCAAAAGAGATTGACCAAAGACACTCTTGGTTCATCTAATCTCATTTATAAACTGAAAAACATTAATTGCATGCCAAAATCCTGGTAATGATTTTTTTTAGTATTGGCAGCCAAACAATACTTGTACAACAAGCATTTTCTCATACGTACCAATTCCTTTAATCAGGTGGCAGTTTGGAAGGTCTACGGATTCTACTTCTCCTGAGGCTTTAAGTCGATTTCTGTTTAAAAAAAAGAAACATCTATTTGTTTATGTATTCCCTGCCTTGTTTCAGAAAGGACTTAAGGAGGCTTACAGCAATATATAAAATACAGCATAAAGCTAAAGCAGATGAAAGAAGCTGGAAAAACAAGGGTAGGAACATAAAATAGCACCAGAAATCAAGTTAAAACAAAAATGCATATCACACAGTTCTATATATGGATATAGGTGGTAAAAGAAAGCCAATAACTCAGAAAATAAAACTTTCAGTGCAAATTCCTCTGCAAATATAAACATGACACCAGATCATATTTCTCACAGCTCTAGTGTTTGGGAAAACAGCTTTAGAAGTAGAATTAGGAGCCCTGTCTTCCTTCTGAGACCACAGAGGAGCCTAAAAATGTTCCGATCCTCTGCAAAATGACCATATCAGCATCATACAGTAATGGAAAGGAGACCAAGAGCAAATGACCTTGCCCAGATCCTGGCACACAGAAGAAACCCTACAAGTATTTACTAAGAAATAAGAGGAGAAGGTACGATCCCCATGACAATATTTACTGGGATGGGAATGCTGGAGAACACCAACTACTTAACAAAATGCTAGATCTTAATATTCCAGAATGTGAGTTTTGCTGTTGTTGTTCCAAGAAAACTACAATCCAGAAATAATGAGAGAATGTTGAACACTAATAGGATATCTTCCCCCTTCCTCTGAAGAAGCAGTTTGGGCAAACGTGTGGGATCTATTGTTTTGAAGGACACAAACAGGTTTTCTCACCTTCTCCTTCTGTTCTCTACTGCTGTAAATAATAACAATAGTACCCACTTACAGAGTACTCCACCCAAGTCGTTCAGAGATGGCATGGCTGTTTCCTCTCTGCCTCCACACAGACATCATTAATCAATCACAGCAATCTTTCCCTTTAACCGAGAGCCAGCTTCAGAGTGTTCCAGGCAACCACTACTAATCTACTAAAATGAACGCTCAAGATGAAATGTAGTTGCCCTATCTGTTCTAGGTTCCTTCTTCTCCTTTGTTTTTTGGTTTTTTGTTTTTTTTTTTTGGCTTCTGTTTTTATTTTTCCATTGCCATTCTGTTATTTTCCTTTCAGTTACAATTATACAGTAGGTATAATACAGGAAAGAAGCCTTGGTGGCATACTGGTTAAACATTCAGCTACTAACTGAAAGATCGGCATTTCGAAGCCCCCAACTACTCTGCGTGAGAAAGATGTGGCAGTCTGCTTCTGTAAAGATTGTTCTTGTTATTAGGTGCTGTCGAATCGGTTCTGACTTATAGCGACTCTATGTACAACAGAGTGGAACACTGCCTGGTCCTGCACCATCCTCATGATCGTTGTTACGCTTGAACCCATTGTTGCTGGCACTGTGTCAATCCATCTCATTGAGGGTCTTCCGCTGTTTTCCTGACCCTCCACTTTACCAAGCATGATGTCCTTCTCCAGGGACTGGTCCCTCCTGAGAACATGTGCAAAGTATGTGAGATGAAGTCTCACCATCCTTGCTTCTAAGAAGCATGCTAGCTGTACTTCGTCCAAGACAGATTTGTTTGTTCTTTTGGCAGTCCATGGTATATTCAATATTCTTCGCCAATACTGCAACTCAAAGGCGTCAATTTCTTGGAAACCATATGGGGTAATTCTACTCTGCCCTACAGGGTTGCTATGAGTCAGAATCGACTTGATGGCAATGAGTTTGGACAATACTGGTGGGAGCCCTGGTGGCAACATGGGTAAGCACTTGGCTGCTAGCCAAAAGGTCAGTGGTTCGAATCCACCCAGCGGCTCCACGGGAGAAAAGACCTGGTGATCTGCTCCCATAAAGGTTTCAGCCTAGGAAACCCTGCGGGACAGTTCTACTCTGCTCTATAGAGTCACCGTGAGTTAACATCAACTCCACAGCACACAACAACATCAACATAATTCAGGAAAAAGAGTGTACAGTACTGGCTTCCTTCAATTGTGCAAGCTGTCATTCTCCAAATGACCCTCACAGGAAACATGTAATCAGGGTTCTTAACTGGGGTCCATTGACAGAATTCAAGGAATTGGGTGGTGAAAAAAAAATCTTTATTTTAATCTCTAATTGAAATTGAGTATTTCCTTTGATGGTGAACGTGGGCAACAAACCACAGTACTAGTAGTGGTACCTGTGACTCTGTCACGAAAAGAAATTACAGATATTTTTGTATCATATTTCAGTTGTAGGTATCTCAAATACCATTCACACTAACAACTTCTCCAAAATATCTATTGTTAGATATCAATCTACAACTAGATCCATTTAATATTTTTACATTAAATACTATTTAGATATTTTAATAGAGAAACAATGTTATTATGTCATGAATTAGACTGGAAAAAGGGTTTGATAACAGTATTTAAATATGGTTGGCTTCCTTTGCACTCCTGTGTATTTTATTTCATGCATTTAAAAGTATTATGCTGAGAAGGAGTCATCAAGGCTTCACTAGACTGCCAAAGGGGTCCATGGCACAACAGTTTAAGAACCCCTGCTTGGACATCATTGTCATCATAAAACTAGTTGCTCTCAAGTCAGGATCAACTCATGGAGACCCCATGTGTGTCAGAGTAGAACTGTGCTCCATAGGGTTTTCATAGGTTTTTCTTCCAAGGCACCGCTGGATGGACTCGAACCTCCAACCTTTCAATTAGCAGCTGAGTTGCTTGTTAACCATTTACAGACCCAGGGACTCCTATTTAGCGCTTACTATGTATATGTGGCACTAAACTCACACACTATTCTAAGTACTGAGTACTTTGCATGTATAAAATCATTTATTTCTCACAGTCTCACTATGTGGCAGGTGGTATTTATTATTCCCATCCTACAGATTAAGGAGCTCTGGTGGTGCAGTGGTTAAACGCTCAGCTGCTAACCGAAAGTTCAGCAGTTCAAACCTGGCAGTCTGCTTCCGTAAGGATTACAGCCTTGGAAACCCTATGGGGCAGTTCTACTCTGTCCTATAGGGTTGCTACGGGTTGGAATCGACTGGTGGGCAATGTGTTTGGTTTGGTTTAGTGGAGCTAGGAAATTAGTTCAGGTTATCTGGCCACAAAGCATAAACTCTTAACCAATAGTCATTAACATGAAATTAATCTCTATTTCTTTCACTTGGGAAACAGCATTCCCCACCCGGAGTGGAATGAGACTACTACAGTGTTCTCTGGGGCTGTCAGTTACCATCCTGCATCACTGTGCACTTGCTGTACAGCAAGGGTACGCTGCGTCGTGGGGCCACTATTCCTGAGCCAACTGGGAATACAGTGTTAACCACCAGTTGTTAACTTTGTTCCACATCTCACTGCTTTTGGGTGCAGAAACACCGGGTGATTTGCAGTCTGTAGATTATGAAATCCTTACAAGAAGAGGCTTTATCTTTCATATACAGACTTACATATAGACAAACTGGAGCTTTATCTTTTATACACAGACTTTGCAAGGTCCCTTGGGCCCCTAGGATACCTGCACTAAGTAACTAAGAATTTGGACTCAGGCAGGTAAAGCTGGGAGAAAATTTGCTCCAATGGCAGGAAATTTTCCCATAGAAAATAGAAGTCTGTGGAGGAACTAGGTAAACTGTATTTGGAATCAGAAGAGCTAGCTTAGAGTACAGGTTCCAGCATTAATCACCTGTTGGACTAATTAGTTAACCTCTCCAAGCCTGTTCTGACATCTATAATCTAGAATGGAATATATCTCTGCAGATAAATGAAGGCATAAATGTGAAAGGGCTCTCTTCCCAAATGTCAATAAATGTACACTTCGGTCTAACGTAAAGAACTTTTTACACTTTGGGACTTTTTGCACAGTGACCAGCACATAGTAGCTACCACAAATGGTAAGGATGGAGGTTTTAAAAAAAAGGCTGCTCCTTCAGAGGTGTGTTCACATGCAGACTGGATAGCTTCCTGGTGGAGCTGTCATAAGACATCTCTCTCTGGCTTCAAGTGGAATATACGGACTTGTTTTGGGAGCTCCTGCCCACTCACAGGAGTCTGATGCACACAAGTATCTTGATTGGTGCCAAGTTATGTACCTTGCAATAGACAGCCACTGGCCTGGGAATATGTGTGTATTTCCATTTTCTCCTTTATTGCTCAACTAGAGAGGGGTAGAAAAGGTAGGTGTGGTATGTCATCTTTCCCTGGGAACCTTAGCCAATTACTGCTCAGAAGGAAAAAGAGGCAACTTTGATTACATTTATCCATCTGGGACATTAAAAAAAAAACAACAAAAAACAGCTGTGATTGAGTCAGTTCCAACTCGTGGTGACATCACGTGTTTCAGAGCAGAACTTCACTCCACAGGGCTTTCAATAGCTGTGATCTTTTGGAAGTAGACTGCCAGGCCTTTCTTCTGAGGTGCCTCTGAGTGGATTCAAACTGCCAACCTTTTGGTTAGTAACGAAGTGCTTAGATGGTTTCACCACCAAGGGTCTCTCACTGGGGACATACTTATACCAAAAAAATTATTCATTGTTAGTCTGAAATTTATCTCGACATTTTAGGAGAGAAAAAATAACTTTAATGACAAAGTACCATCTTTAAAAGTAGAATAGTGAAATAGTAGGTACCCTACTGGAGTTAAAAACAAAACAAGACGACAACAAAAACAGCCTCCGTCCTTCCCTCTTCCTCTGAAGAGTCTTTCCTTTTGGGAAGGTGGGAACAGGCTGCTTTTGCAAAGACTCTAAGCATCTGAAAGGACTAACGCCATGCTTTTGAGCACTCCACTGAACATTGTAAACAGCGGGCTCTTCTCCTCATTCACCTCTGTATAGGGCTGCCAGGTGAAATACAGGATGCCCAGGTAAATTTGAATTTCAGATAAACAATGAATAATATTTTAGTATAATGATGTCCTAAACATTTCATGGTTATACTAAAAATGATTCGTTGTTTACCTAAAACTCAAATTTAACTGCCAGTCTGTATTTTTAATTGCTAAATCGAGCAACTCTCATCCCAAACCAACATTCTCACACCAGCTTATTTGGGTCTTCAATTATCCAATAAAATTGTTGTTGTTGGGTGCCATCGAGTTGATTCTGAGTCATAGTAACTCCATGTGACACAGTAGGACTGCCCCCATAGGGTCTTCTTGGCTGTAATCTTTATGGAAGTGGATCGCCAGGTCTTTCTCCTGTAGAGCTGCTGGGTGGGTTCGAACCGCCAACTTTTCAGTTAGCAGCTGACTGCTTAACCACTGTACCACCAGGCCTCCTATCCAATAAAGTTATTGCCCTATAAAGTCATTACCAATAAAGTTTATCATGTAGTCATTATTAAGAAAAGATAAATTGTAAATTACCTATCAAGTGTGTTCTATGTCAATAAGCTTTATTTACTTTTTCTTAATTTGCAACTATAACATTTTTCATTTAAAGGGGCTTAAATTTAAACCCTTAAAATTAGTAAGAAGAGAAAAACGTAACTGTTAATTGAGAAAACTCTAACTTGGTAGTTTGAACATCAGTGACAACTTAATGGGCTTATGAATTTGAGTGGTCTTGCCTTTGAAACTGAGGGTAGGACAGATTATACAAAATCATCCAACTCAGGAATAGTCTGCAGAGCAGGATGGACATGTACATAACATGAAAATTAAGCTCGGCATGTCCATTTCCTACCTATAAGCCTCCTCCCTCATCCCCAGTCCCCCCTACACATACATGTAACACCTCTCCTTGCATCCTTTTTTCATCAGATTAAGCCACCAGACAGTTGAGTCAGAAACTCTAGTATCATCTTTGACTTTCCTCTCACCCCCGGTATTCAGTAGTTTGGACTCTAGTTATTCTCTTCAAAGCACTGCAATGTCTTAACTAGTTTCCCTGTATTTATGCTCTTTGGAGTCCCTGAGTGGTGCAAACGGTTAACACTATCGGCTGCTAGTCAAAAGGTTAGAGGTTCTAGTGCACCCAGAGGCACCACACAAAGAAGGCCTGGTGATCTACTTCCAAAAAAATCTGTCACTGAAAACCCTATGGAGCACAGTCCTACTCTGACACACATGGGGTCACCATGAGCTGGAGTTGACTCAACAGACAACTAGCATACTCTTCTCTATTCTAGTACTTCTAACCCTACCTGCACGTTAGAATTAACAGGAGAATCTTTAAAAATAAAAACTACTAATGCCTGGGCCCTGGACCAAATGAATCAGAAACTCTGGGAATGAGACCTATGCATCAGCCCACCAACAGATCCAAATGTGCAGCCAGGATAGAGAACCACTGCTCTACTCCAATCTACCCTTTCAGGTTCATCTCTAGAAAACACAACCAGTTACATACCAAACCCACTGCCATCGAGTCAATTCTGACTCAGCGATCCTATAGGACAAAGTAGAACGGCCCCATAGGGTTTCCAAGGCTATAAATCTTTACGGAAGCAGACTGCCACAACTCTCTTCCACAGCGCAGCTAGTGGGTTTGAACCACCCATCTTTTGGTTAACAGTCGAGTGCTTTAATCACTGTGCCACCAGGGCTCTTTCTAACTGGTTAAACAGGATCCTGTTTTTAAAAATGTATCAATAGTCTTCCTTTGCCAACTTTTCAACCTGTATTTAACAGTCTCAAAACCTATTCTTCCCCCAACCTCTACTGTTTTCATCCCTTAACTTCATGCTACTCTTCAATAGGTCTATTTTCCAGTCTCCCAACTTTCTCATCTGACTGCCCTTGCTCACACTGCACTTTCCATCTGTGATGGCCGCCTTCATCCCCAGAGTGTTCCACCCAACCTTCAAGGCCAGTGTCAATGTCTCTTCCTCCTTCCTCAACTCCACCTTCAATGAAGGGAATGTCTCCTCTTTAAGCCTATAAGGGTTCGTTTATACCTGTCCTGAATATATATTTAATTTCTTCCTTCTTTTTAATACAGTAAACACCTTAGGACTCCATTACAGGTACCTAGGAGAGCACATTACACTTCATTGGGTGCTCCAGATTTCTTGAATTTTTTTTCATGAGGCTTATAAAATTTGAATTGGTAACTTAAAAAATATGTCTACATACCAGCAGTTTTTTCTTACAACTAAAATGTGAGCTGTCGTAGTGCTTGTATGCATCATTCGGCATTCTGAACTTAAAGTTCCCAGGTGAACAGGTAAATACAGAAGTGATGTAGGAACAGTAGCTGAGTTACCTCTAGTCTCTTACAGTAGCTGAGTTATCTCTAGTCTCTTTGATCTACTGCGCCAGGATTAGAGAGCAGAAGATTTTCTCAAACTATGCAGAGAAGGATGAACAGCAATTTTATTAAGGACGCGGGCTGGCTTGAGCAACAAAAGAGAAGCAATACCAATTACCTCAAATAAATCTTTATAATCAAAGTTTCAATGCATAAGTAATACTTCTGCTCTAAAGTTTGCCCTGGAACCAATGCAAACCAACCGCTTGTCAACCCTAGGCAGAAAATGACTCTGAAAGTAGCAAAGGCTTAGAAACTGGTTGCGAGATTCAGTTCTAACTTGGCTGGTTAACCAAAGACTGGGCGTGGGGGTGGGGATGTTCAACTAGCTAGTGAACAGAGACAATTAAAAGTTATTCAACCCCTGCCGCGGGTCACAGCCCCCAGAATCGCTCCTCTGGAATCTCGGCCTAAGCCCTCGCCAGCGGCTGCCCCGCAGGCTCCAGCCACCAAGCCTGGGGACCCGCGGGCCGGGGGAGGCTCCGGGGGACGGGGGTCTGGGAGCACAGCGAGCCAGCCCGGCTGCGCGCACGAGGTTGGAGAGGGCCTCACCTACCTGAGCGCCAGGAACCTCTCGCCCAGGAGGGCCAGCGATATCCCCAGCAGGCTCAGAGCCACCAGCCGCCCCATGGCGCGGAAGCCGGGCACGCGGACTCGTCCGGCCTGGCCAGGGAGTCCGATGGGCGGTGCCCGCTTCCCGGTTCTGCCAGCGCCGGGCTGGGCTCCGCCCCGTCCCCGGCCTCGGCGGGGCCCATGTCCCGAGGCCACCGAGGCTCCGCCCTCGGCCCGCCCCTGGGCCTTTGTCCCCGCGAAACCTACTTCCCCAGATAATCTTCCACGGCACTGGGAACCGTCCCATACGCCCTAGTCTAGGCTGATGGCTGAAACTTGGAATTCTTTCACCTCCTTTCCCAAACAACCAGCCCACACAAAACTCTAAAACTGCACGCATACCATTCTCACTTTCCGCTCCTTCACTCGCTATTCCGATAAGAAACTATTAAAGTTTTAAGTTTTTTTCTAATTACTAGGAAAAAAGAAACGAACATGTAAGTATCTCACGTTAGAACTGCTACTTTTTATAACAGGATGTAAAAGAGAGGAAACAAACATCTTGTTTTTAGTAATACTTCATCTAGACTAGAGACCTAAGGATTCAAACACTTCTTTTTGATCCAGACCCAGTTTATGGGAATAAGAGCTATTTTTTTTTAACTTTAACAACATGAAGAAATAAAGACAAAAAATATATATATCAAAGAGAAACTTACTCACTAAGACTGAGGCAGTTATACATGAGTACATCAGAAATAAGCTGCTGATGATTTTCAGGGTTTACTTGCCACCCTACAGTATGTAAAAGGTCTGATAGTGCAGAACCAGGCACTGCTGGGTCAGTGTTTCCTTGCGTTTTGCCTGGGTCGTTATGAGTCGGGGAGACCCTATGGCAGCTAACACGACCACCACAGTATGCAGACAGAGATGTCGCAGACAGTTACCAGTTCTTAAACAGTTTCATGAACAACTAGCAAATAAAAGCAAATGCCAATTTCTCACCTTTCCCCTAACGCCTCTCCCCAAAAATGACTCCTCTCCTGTGTGTGCTTATGTCTAATTCAAGCCTAAGGAATATTGAGTTCTACTGGATAGTAGATAGCAGATACAGTGGTCCTTTGAAGGCCCAGAGGGCTTTACCTTTTTTGTGTGAAGCAGCACTCTGACGGTCTGGTAAGCCTACAAATTCCTTCTCAGAATAATGTTTATAAGTGTATACAATAAAATACATAGGATTGCAAGGGAAACCAATGGCACTGAAATGCAACTATCAAAATATTTTTAAAAAACTATTTTTTTGCTATAGTAATATGTGTGCTACATTATTGACACATTACATAACAAGAGGGAGCACGATTCTTTCAAACAGTGATAAGCCTAAATGTTATTTTTAGATATCTGCCACAACAGTAATGTAATAATGAAAATAACTGCCATTCTATTAGTAACAAAGTCACAAGTACTGGTAATACTACTGAGCTTGTTGTCTGCTTTCATAATTGACTCATGGTCACCCCATGTGTGTCAGAGTAGAACTGTGCTCCATAGAGTTTTCAATGGCTGATTTTGCAGTAGATAACCAGACCTTTCTTCTGAGGTGGCTCTGGGTGGACTTGAACCTCCAGCCTTCTGGTTAGCAGCCAAGCGTATTAACCATTTGCACCATTTGAAAACAAAGATGTTATTTTTTTCTCATCCAGGTGTATGAACCTCCCTGAATTCTATCCATTCTTAACTTGGGTTAAGAATCCTTCCATAACCAAACTGATAACAGCAACTGGAAAGATTAGATAGGAACCTTACTAAAAGGGCAGTGCATTTATGACAGTGGGGGAGGAACAACTCAGAAAAGGAGGGTGAGAATGGTTGCACAACCCGAAGAATGTAATCAATGTCACTAAATGGTACACGTAGGAATTGTTGAATTGGTGTATGTTTTGCTGTGTATGTTTTCAACAACAACAAAAACAAAATAAAAAAAGAATCATAGGGTAAGGCTATGACTGTATAGGTAGGGCTGGAAAGGGACATGTCTGTGTAGGTAGGCAGGGATATCTTTGGTGTCAGTCACTGGACAAGAGAAGAGCCTTAAATATTAAATCAGAATTTAAAATGAGGACCTAAAACAGAGTGCCTGGGACAACCACCTGGGCTTCTCCCTTGGTCAAGTCTGCAAGTCTTGTTCTCAAGGATTCCTGGGGAGAGACCAATACAAAAACCTATGCCTCATGAACCCTAAATCAGGAGCCAGGCTCAGAGGTCTCCCTCCATGTGGCACAAAATGAGGAAGCTCAAGACTGTAAGTAAGATTACCCATTTGATGCTAGTCTCTAAGTCTATTTCCCTTTCATTATTCCTCATTTGTAGAAAAGTCATGCTTTTCATAGTTTGGTCTGTTTTCAGCTATTATACAGAAATTAAAGTGTAGAACGTCTGCATCTTTTAGACTGAACTCAGGACTACCAAAAAAACAAAACAAAACACAAAAAAAACGAAAACAGCTCTTGTACCGACTCCTTCTCCCTTTGCCAGTGGCAGACATCACTAATTGATTCCAGCAATATTTCTACCAAGACCAGATCTGTCCTCACAATCTTTTCAAAAAACAAAAGAAAAAGAGAAATAGGAATCTGTGAAGTGGCCACTGACAAATCTCAATCCAGGACGAAGCCTATTTGCCATCTTGGTGCTGGGCGGTCAAGGAGAACCAAAACCAAACCAAACCAGTTGCTGTTGAGTTGATTCCAACTCAGTGACCCTATAGGACAGAGTAGAGCTGTCCCATAGGGTTTCCAAGGAGCAGCTAGTGGATTCAAACTGCCAACTTTTGGTAAGTAGCCGAGCCCCTTCAAAGAGAACAGTGCCCTGGAATTTAACACAGAGGCAGTTGTGGTAAAGAACCAGGCTTTGAAGACCAGCAAAACCTACCTAACCACAATCTTAGAGAATCTTAGAGAAAACTGCATTTTAATTTTATTAATATGACCAGTGAGCTTCTGCAAGCTCTACCTTCTCATCCCCACTACCATGCTAGGGCTAGAAATCACCATTTCTCACAGGTGGGTGGGAAGAGATATTGTTTGATTAGGAAATCAGAAGTATTTATCTTTTCTCATTATTATGTTATGCTGTTAGTCGTTAGCTGCCTTTGAGTTGCTCCCAACTCATGGTGACCCCATGCACAATGGAAGAAAATGATACTGGTCCTGCGCTATCCCCATGACTGGTTGCTGTGATCTGTAGGGTGTTCACTGGCTGATTTTTGGAGTAGATGGCCACGCCTTTCTTCCCAGTCCCTGTTAGTCTTGAAGCTCTGCTGAAACCTGTTCAGCATCATAGCAACACGCAAGTCTCCACTGACAGACAAGTGGTGGTGTCATGTGAGGTTCATTGGCTGGAATCAAACCCTGTCTGCCATATGAAAGGCAAGAATTCTACCACTGAACTATCAATGTCCTGAGGAGTGTTATAAAACCTGTTGCTGTTGAATCGATTCCAACTCATAGCGACCCTATAGGACAGAGTAGAACTTCTCCATAGGGTTTCCAAGGAGTGGCTGGTGGATTCGAACTGTTAACTTTTTTGGTTAACAGCCACAGCTCCCTGTAGCTCTTAATTACTGAGCCACCAGGCTCCCAAAACCAAACCTACCTCCATCGAGTCTATTCCGACTCATAGCAATCCTATAGGACAAAGTAGAACTGCCTCATACAGTTCCCAAGGCTGTAAATCTTTACAGAAGCAGATTGCCACATATTTCTCCTGTGGAGTGGCTGGTGGGTTCGAATCGAGGACTTTTGGTTAGCAGCCCAGCACTTTAACCACTGCACCACCAGGGCTCCTTCAAGAAAGTTACATTGGCTATCACTGGCTATTAAATGTTATAATAAAGTTTAACAATCTTTTGAGATAACTGGGATTTATAGGCTACACCAAGAACATAACCCCAAATTTATGTTATTTCATGTGGAAAATTGGTTTTGACTACCAAATAACCAAGTTACCCAATATAAAACAAACTTTTTCTGGAACCTATTTGTACTTGGCATGAAGAGTCTTTATCAAATAATGACTTAGGATTAGATTATAATTAGAAATTTAATGGGTTTTAAGCAAAATTTCAGAAATAATGATACCTTATGTCAGTTCTTCTCAAACTCTCTCTAGTGAAGGACCAGTTTTTCTTTATTTCCAATTTATCACAGACTGACACTTTTGCAAAATACAATGAAAAGCAATGATTAGAAAACAAATGAAAAATCAGATATACAAAATACAAATACAAATCTTTTATTATTTGATTTAACAGACGTAGAATTACTTTGTCAAATTTCTGTAACTTTTTCTAAATGCTTACTATCAATTTTTCATGCTTATCTCACCATGGACGAAAACAAAGAGTTCACAGACTGAACATGGCCCTTGGACCCTACTTCAAGTGGCACTGCCTTTTATGATTGTACCTTAACTCTTTAAAGCTCATTGCAGTGCATTATCACATGTAATGTTCATGGTAATTTTATGAAATAGATGACTCATGATGATTGTCATTTTATAAAATATGTGACAGGGGAGTTGGTCCCTCCATATCTTTATTCCTTCTGCTCCTCATCTCTATTTTAAAAAGAGGGAAGATCCTTTAAGACATAAACGCATTCAAGAGATGTTATTAAATATCGTTATTATTAGCACGAGAAAGATTTTCCTTGTTATGTTCCACTCCAGGGCTTCTCAAGCCATTTTCTGAGAATTCCAATGTGTTAAAAATACCACAACAGATCCAGGAAAATGTTGTGTATTTTTAATATTTGTACTTAACAAATTAACATTCTTCAAATTTTAGGTTAAGCAATATGAAATTGTTGTTTGTAGAGGTCAAAAACACACATAAATATAAAATACAATATAATGTGTTAGTTACAAAATAATTGTACATTTATTCCTGGTTTACTATAGGAGGAGTTATCTAGTAACGGAACTAAAGTCTAAAATGAATGAGATGTTATTATGGATTAAATTGTATCCCCCCTAAAAAATGTGTGTCAGCTTGGCTAGGCCATGATTCCCAGTATTGTGTGATTGTCTACCATTGTATCATCTGATGGGATTTTCCTATGTGTTGTAAATCCTACCTCTATGATGT